TCTAAAAAAAAAATTGAGTGATTTGGTTGACGTTTGGAGATTTTACAAGTTGAAGATGGAAGACCAAATTGCATTTTCGCCATATTTTACTGTTTTACTTCCATAAAGGGAAGAACACGCGTCAAGCTTGTGAAAAGTTGCATAAAGTTTATGGTGACAATGTTCTACAAGAATGTCAGTGCCAATGATGGTTCACAAAATTCCATGCTGGTGATTTTAATCTCAACAACGCTCCTCAGTCAGGGAGGCCCACCGAGGTTGATGATGACAAAATGAAGGCATTGATCCAGTCAAGCCCAAGTTACATGACACGAGAGACTGCAGAAACATTGAACATCCATCATTCAAGCGTTCACGACCACCTGAAGGAGCTGGGATACGTAAGCAAGCTTGATATTTGGGTTGCGCATGAACTCAAAGAAGTTCATTTGACTGTGCATATAAACATCTGCAATATGCTCATTAAACGTGAGGAAAACAATCCTTTTTTGAAGCGACTGATAACTGTTGATGAGAAGTGGATTGTTTATAACGATGTGGTGCACAAACGGTCTTGGTCCCGACATGATGATTTGCCTCAAATGACATCAAAAGCAGACATTCATTAGAGGAAGGTTACGCTTTCAGTAAGGTGGGATTTTAAAGGTGTCATGTTCGAGCTCCTACCATGGAACCAAACAATCAATTTGAATGCATACTGTCGGCAATTGGACAGTTTGAACGAATCCATCATCCAGAAATGTCCAGAGCTGGTTAATCGTAAAGGAGTTGTGTTCCATCACGACAACGCGGGACCACACACAAGTTTGATCACCTGTCAAAAATTACTGGAGCTTGGATGGGATGTGTTGCTATACCCACCATACTCGCCCGACCTTGCGCAGTCAGACTTCCACTTGTTTTGCTTTCTTCAAAACTCCTTGCGTGGTATAATGCTCAATTCAGATGAGGCTGTAAATCAGCACCTTGTTCAGTTTTTGGCAAATAAAGACAGGTGCTTCTATGTGTGAGGAATCATGAAGCTCACTGAAAGATGGCAAAAGGTTATCAAACAAAATGTGCAATATATCATTGATTGATCTTTGTTCTTTATATAAATAAATGACCTTTGAAAAACATAGACAAAATAAGTCATGCCTTTTCCAACGACCCAATATTTAAAAACATTAAATATTTAATTTGTGTTTAAGAAATATATATTAGGGCCAGCCGAGTGGCACGTTGGTTAAGAGCTGGCTTGGGATGCCAGCTCTGAGCAGCAGGGCCCCAGTTTGGATCCCACATGAGGACCAGTGACGCTACACCCTCTACAGCTAAGATGGTGAACAACAGCTCGACCTGGAGCTGGGCTGCCATGAGTCGCCGGCAACAGCGCAGACTGCAGCCCCTGCTGCAGTGGGTTGCCATAAGCTACTGTGTATGGCCGGCAGCCAGCGTGAGCAGCCAGCAGCCGATATGAGCAGCCAAGAGCCGCCGTGAGGGGCCGCCCAGAGGCCGGTGACCGATCTGCCTCACCCGGGAAGAGCGCAATGATAATACCAACATAGGCCAGTGAAGCGATGTCCTCCACAACTAGACTGAACAACAAAAGGACAGCAACTTGTCTGTTCCTCTTCCCCCAATTCCCCAGCGCTATTCCCCTCCCCCAATTCCCCAATAAAAT